AAATAAAATCTGGTACATACAATGAATGGAATTTTATGAATCCTTAAAAAGTAATGATGAAACTGTAAAAATCTCATAACATAGGCAAATTTGGAAGACACTATGCTTAGCAAAGTGTGTCAATCTCATAAAAAGAAATACTGTATGAGAACACTCTTATAAAAGATAAATCAAGGACAATAGTTTCCACACCAAAGAAGCCGAATTTGAAGGCTATGGAGAGGCTGGAGGAGGGGAAGAAGGAAAGGGAGGGAGGGAAGGAGGGAGAGAGAAAAGAAAAGAGAGCCATGTCCATGGGAGGTGAAGGTGGAGGGAACTTTCTGGGATACTGTCAGTGTTCTATTTCTTGACCTGTGCTTATGATAATGGTGGGGGTTGTTAGGTGTCATTGAGTCAGTTCCAATCCATAGCAGCCTTATGCACAACAGAACAAAATATTGCCTAGTTCTGCACCATTCTCACAATTGTTCCTACGTCTGTGCCAATTGTTGCAATCCATCCCCTTGAGGTTTGTGTGTACCTTTCCTCTGTTACACAGTTAGTGCCAGGTCAATGCCTGGGAATGAAAAAAAACAGTCTTAGTGTATTTAGTAGAATTTGAATTTGAATCTCCTGGAATAATTAAAATATCGCTATAAATCTGCTTATTGTTGTTTCTAGTTGCCATTGGTTCTGACTCATAGTAACCTTTTGTAAAACACAAAGAAATTTTCCCCAGGTCTGCGCAATTATTTTTATGTTTGAGCTCATGTTGTAGCCACTGTGCTAATCCATCTCTATAGGTTTCTTCTTTTTCTGCTGATCCTCTACTTAGCCATGCATGTTGTCTCTTAAAGGGAATCTTTCCCAATAACATGCCCAACCAAAGTAAGTCAGATGAAGTCTCACTATCCTTGCTTCCAAGGAGTACGTTGGTTGTATCGGCTCCAAGAGAGACCTGCTGGTTCTTCTGAGACTCTATGTACCTTCAATATTCTTCCCCCAAACCACAATTCAAATGCATCAATTTTTCCGTGGTCTTCCTTATTCAGACTCCAACTTTCAAATGCATATGAAGAAGTTGAACGTATCATGACTAGGGCCAGGGGCACCCTATTCCTCAGAATGATATCCTTGCTCTTCAACACTTTAAAGCACTCTTGTGCAGCAGCTTTGTTTACAGTAACATTTCACTTGATTTCTTGTTTGCTGCTTCCATGAATATTGATTGTTGTGTTAGTCCAGGTAGACAAGAGAAACAAATTCATTGACACTCATATATGTGTAAGAGAAAACTTTATATCAAAGAGTAATTGTATATTAAGAAAACATCCCAACCCACTCCAGATTAAGTCCATAAATCCTATATTAGCTCATATGTCTGATACCAGTCTATACATTCCTCTTCAGATTCACACAACATATGCAATGATGCTGAATGCAGGAAGATCACAGGACAGTGGGTGGAAATTCTTGTAGATCCAAGGGTGGTGGATGCATCTCCAGGGCTCTGGTTGCCATCAGCTTGGCTCCATGTGGCTTGTCAACACGAATGTATAGCAGAGAAAGTGTATATCCTGCTCCCAGGGAGGAAGACAGGAATTCCCAGAATTCGCAGGAAAAGGCCATGCCCACACAGAGGCATCATTGGCTATGACCTGATTGACAGGCTAGACTCCATCCCTTCGTTCAAGTTGACAGGAGATTATATAATTGCCACAATTGTGGTTCCAAGCAAAATTAAAACCTGCTAGATTGTTTATTAAATATGTAACATATATTTAATTTGATTACTTCTAAAGCTGCTAAACTGCATTTTTCAACACTAATAATCATTTCAATATCAATGCTTTCAATTCTCTTTATATTCCCAAGTTTCTTAAATTTGAAATATCAAAGCATCTGAGCAATTTCCTCCTGCTAAAAACCTCAAGTCATTCTAGGAATAAAATAAAAGTAAACCAAGCTCACTGTCATTGAGGCAATTCTGACTTCTGGCAACCCTATATGGCAGTGTAGAACTATCCCCTGTGGGTTTCCAAGAGTGTAACTTTTTATGAGAACAGAAAGCCTCTTCTTCCCCCCCACGAATGGTTAGTGGTTTCAATCTACAAATCTTGGGGTTAGCAGCCCAACCCATAATCACTTAGCAACAAGAGTCTTGATAAAATGGGTGCAGTAATTTGGTTTTAGGTTTGCTAAATGCAATTATAAAGTTCCCAGGTGGCTACTGGTAGAAACCACCAGTCTTTATATTCCCATAAAGAGTTAGTCTTGGACAGCCACAGGGGAAGTTCTACTCTGTCCTATAGGGTTGCCATGTGTTGAAATCAACTCGTTGGCAATGGGTTTGGTTAGATTTTAGAATGCAACTAGAGGAATTTCAAAAGCAAAACATTCCCTTCAAGTCAAATTTACTTGGAATTTTCAATCACAGTAAGTTATGAAAGGCATATTGTTTCTATCAAAACACCTGTTGTACATAATATGAAACTCATGTTCAAAGTTTTTGGTAAAATATACATTTCTGAAAGTGCTGTTTTTTTATTTTTTAAAAACTTCTACCTTTTTTTGGGAGGCTTTTCTTGCTTGTGCCAATTTTCCTCAACTTTCCTCCACATCCCCCCTCTTCTTATTTTTTTTCCATAACTGTATTAAACTAGCAATAAGTTTATTTTTAAAATTTATATATTTTTGCAATAACAACTTAAAATAGCTTTTTAAACATATTGGAACTGTACCCATCCCAGACTATTTCATTAGATTTACTTATTACTATAGTCCAAGAGAAAACTTGATACAATTAAAAATTGAAACAGTAGGAAGAGATTCAGCATGTAGTTCTATATTTTAACAGTTTTATTAGCACTTCATCCATAGATCATGCAATTCAATAATTCATTCATATCAAAAGGGGTTGTAGAATTATCACCACAGTCAATTCTAGAACATTTTCTTTTTTCTTGTACTCCTTATTAGTTATGTAATTATTTTTCTAATTGTGGCATAAATATGCACAACAAAACATTCTCCAACAATTTCTACATGTTGTGAAACCATTATTGATATTATTTTCCAAATTATTTCACTACCTTTAACATAAACTCAATGCCCCCTAAGCAACAATTATTTTTACTTCACCCATGGTAACCATTGGTCAAGTTTAGTTTCTTCTTTTTATGTTTTAGTAATTTTCTTGATATAGTATTCACATACATACATTTCCATGGTTAACGGGCAATTCTAAATGCTTGTTTGATGAAATGACAAAAGGGAAAATATGCTGCACAAAAGGAGAAAAAACAACTACCAACTTAGAACACTGAGAACTTATTAGGGGAGAAAGATTACCCACTCTGCTTTGATACCAGGGGACCCCTGGTGGTACAATGGTTAAAGCACTCTGCTGTGAACTGAAAAATCAATAATTTGAATCCATTTCAAGGGGAGAAAAATGTGGCAATCCGCTGTGTGGAGGGCAATGGGCTTTGTTTTATGGTTTTCTTTGATACTATTTTGTGTGACAAAGGCTGAGTAAAATTTTGTTGGGTTCTGAAAAATTATATATGACGTGGAAAACACTAGGAATGCTATTTTAGATGTATCGTTGGTAAATTTTTGTAAGGAAATGAAGCTTGGAGTTCCCTTTCTGAACAGCCTCCAGACCAGAGGAGCATAGGAAAGAAACCACTTTGTATTTCAGACAGTCAAATGCTTGATGCAGCGTCTTAAAACAACTTTGCCTCGGTTGGTGTTGTAAGCACCAAATGCTGTGTTGTGGAGGAGACCCGGCCTCTTCCCTGGAAGGTAACTCCCTCAGAAATTGGCGGGAAATGAGCTCCTTTACTGTGTTTAGGGTCATTTGACTGGGTGGCGGAACAGAAATCTTGAGCTGAAGTTTAAGACACGAGGTTCTAATCACTGGGCCATCAAAGCTACTTTTTTAGTCTATAGGCAAGCGAGGAATATACAACTTTAAAAAGAACAAACCCTCATCCTTCATTTTCTGTAAGGATTATTTTGAGTTGCAAAGGATTTATTTATTCCTATCAATTTTAGCGGGGGCTGGGTGAGGGTGAGAGTGGGGTGGGGTTTATCCCAATACTAGGTGATACGTACACAGAAAATAGAGTCTGTTCCAGGCCAGTAGCGGAGGCATTGTGGAAGGAAGCGTTCGGCTTCTACCCATCAACCAAATCTCTGCCTTCCGAAGTGTTCACAGACGATGCTAAACTCACCATGTCGTGTCTCTGAGTGTCACTGGGTAAGAGGATTCGTAACCAGCAACTCCGATTTAAGTGTGAACTTTGGCCACTGGTTCCTCTGTGCGCTGGTGTAAGAGAACCTGTACCAGGCGCACAAGGTGAACTGAAGAAGGGCTGAGCCGCTTACTTCGGAACTCGCAGAGTTGGAGAGCAATGTGCAAGTGAAACTCGAGTATCACCTTCCTTTCTTCACTAGCACTCTGGTGCGTTTAAGGGTACCGCTTTTTATTCCTACTCCGACACGCGAGGAGGGGTGGGGGTCGTCGCTTCTGCTACTTTGCCATGCGTGAGAATCGGACGTTCTCCCGTCAGAATGCAATCTGGAAGAGCAGAGGCACCACACCGCTCTCTTCTCAGGCTGCATCCCAGTTCACCTGCGCGCGGGTGACCGGCCTCAGGTGCTCAGAGGTCGGGCCAGGGAGTCTCCACCCCTTGGCCAGCGGCAGCCATTCGGTGTGCTCCGGCTCTCTGGGGGTGGGGCCTATTGGCTGGGGGGCGCTGCCAGTCTCGGGAGGGGGTGTGGTGGGGGTGGGGTCTGGGGCCGCGCAGGTCGCGCGGCTCACTGTCGGCCGGGTAGTGAGTGAGCTGCGAACAAGCTGGAGCCAGGCTGCCTGAGTCTGCGAACTGTTCTGAAGGAGCGAGAGCGCGTCAGAGAGAGGGGGGGCAAGAGAGTGAAGGCGAGAGTGCGTGGGGGCCTAGAAGAGTGAGCGTGAGAAAGCGAGGTTCCGGAGCACGTCCGAGTGAGGCAGAGTGACCATGGCTGTCTCTGCACCTCCCGTGATCTCTGCAACTTCCAGCGGCGCCAGCGTCCCAGGGGGGTTATTTCGGGCCGAACCCCCCTACTCGACCCCGGGAGAGCCCCCTCGTCTCACTCCCAATATGATCAACAGTTTTATGGCCAATAACCACAGCAGCAGCTCCGGGAGTGGCGGGGTTGTTAGTGGCGGCAGTATCAGCGGCAACACCAATACCAACGAATGCCGAATGGTGGACATGCACGGGGTGAAGGTGGCTTCCTTCCTGATGGACGGGCAGGAGCTAATCTGCCTGCCGCAAGTCTTTGATCTGTTCCTCAAGCACCTGGTGGGAGGGCTGCACACCGTCTACACCAAGTTGAAGAGACTGGACATATCCCCCGTGGTGTGTACTGTTGAGCAGGTCCGGATCCTCCGCGGGCTGGGGGCCATTCAGCCTGGGGTGAACCGCTGCAAACTTATCACCAGGAAAGACTTCGAAACTTTGTTCACCGATTGCACCAATGCCAGGTGAGGCACTTTGACTCGCTCGCTTCTTTACCTGCTCCTCTTTGCCTTTGGCTTGTCTCATCCCCCTTTTGCAACTTTTTTCTCCTGTCTGTACAGGGTCTTAACTAGCTTGCCTCTACTCTTCCTGCTGTAATCGGTGGGGAAAGAAGACTAGAAGGATTACTTCATTAACTGCACGAATGTTCCTTCTAGTTGTGTTCAGTGGCAGAGGTCTAATAAAGTGTTGTACAAACTTCAGTTGCATTCCTCTACTGAAACTTTCCAGCCATTAGTCCATATCTTGTACGGCTTCCTGTTAATTTCTCTATTTGGTTGTCTTACTTGCTCTTTTCTAACCGTATGTGTCGGATAGGTTTTCCTCTTGATTACCAAAACCTAGGGCTTTCTTGGTGTGTGTGGTGCGTGGGTGGGTGGGTGGGGAGTAGAGTGATGGCATGAGGATGGGGTGGGCGGGCCATGCTGGCTGGCTGAGCTGTTAACTGGGCTCCTAAACTGGCAACCTAGAACAAGGTATTTGGGGAATACAGGGGGTCTGAAGTCTAAAATCCATCCCAGAGAGTGCTATTCTCCCTAACCTGTGTGTTGGTCGTGAGTGCGTGATGTGATGGTGGTGGTGGTGTGTGTTGGTAGTTGAACGTACCTATGCGCACGCACACAAGTGTGTGTGAGAATGTGTGCTTTTGCCTCCTATCTCGTTCAAAAAACTCCCAGAACACGTAGCTGGTTATTATTTTTAAAGAACTGTGACAGTTGCCACGTTTCTGTGATCATCTCTTTTGGGCCATCTGCAGAGGGCAATGTGGGATATGCAACATTGGGGTGTGCTGTGTGCTAGATTTGGCTTTGGTAGTTTTTGCAGTGAGGATGCCATCAGCATCACATCTCCCCGCCCCTCCCCCAAACACAGTTGGAAGGATCCCATTCCCCAAAGAGAGGATTCCCTTAAAGATGATGACTAGCGTCCTTGGTTATATGAGTACTTCCTTTATATCACAGTTTAGAAGTACATTATAGAACAAATGTCCATTTGCACATGGAAAGCAAATTTTGTTAAATGCTTTTGACTTAAAAAGAGAGTCATCTATATTCAAAATTATTCGACTTTTAAAACACCTGTGAATTAGACTGAATTAATCTGTTACTATCTCATTTAGGAAAGTAAACATCTGATAGATATAATTGACATACAAACCAAGAAATCGCCATAACCAGGTGGAAGGACCAAAGGAATCTGTTTATCATTTTGCCAAAAACAGTTTCTCCCAGTGGAATTTTAAATCATAAGAACTTGGGCCTATGAACTAATTATGTATCCTGATTGTCACATCCATTGTAACATTCAAATGTTTATATATAATTGAATAGTTGAAATAAACAGAAAACTTGTAGACAAACTGTTGCTTACTGGTACACTATCTTAATGCATAATTTGCAAAGAGGCTTTTTAAAAAAATTATCATTTGAGTAATGTTCCTCTGGGTTCAAGTAACTAAAGGGAAACCTTTTCATATGGAAATTCTTGCCTGATTAAAATCTAGGGCTTACAAACCTGTTTTTATCACATCAGATATTCTTAAGGAAGATAGATGGCCTTAAGACACAAAGGATAACAGGTCCCTTAATAAAATAAGCAATTATGAATTGGAAGAGTAGAAAATAAATCTCACTTTGAACCCAAAGCCTGTATTATTACAGAAACTCATAAGGGTACAAGAAACTTGGGATGGAGTCATTCTAGTTCATTTGGTGCCATTCAAAAGACATTTAAACTATCAGAGACATGAAAATCTATCCTCTTGTTAAAGATCTCTTTACTCTTTCTCTAGCACGCTCACACTGTCTCTCCCTCTCCCTCTTTCACACACACACACACACACACACACACACACACACACACCCCTATATTTAATGTCACACAATTCTTATTCTTAGGAAATTCTCTCTGCCTTGTAATTAATTTATATGTTCTTATGCAAAATCAGACTTTCATTTTTATAATAAGCAGATTAGGATTTTAATGTGCTTTTGATGTTTTCCTTTGTAAACAGAAAGTTTTCTTATGATTTTGAGCTACTCACTAGAGGGAAAATGATAAATTATTCTTTATTGAGAGGCAGGTACTTTTATACTAGTTTTAGATTGTATAATGTGATTTGTTCTTAGGCTATTCTTTTAATGCCATCAAACTTTATTTGCTTGTTACCACAGCATTTACAATACTAACTTCTTTTCTTTGACTAAATTGCATTTGATTATGTATATTTGTGCTTATAAAGTTGATAGAGAAATAGTAAACATACAGGAAGAAACACCTATTTAATTTTGTTTTCTTTTGGGGTATTTGGTTTATTGCACATACTTTCCATAATTGTGTCCTGAGTAAATTGTAAATAATTATAAAATACAACTATATTCTGTGAGGACAATCTGTGAATGAAGATGGGAAAACTACTAGAAACACATCATTATTGTAATTTCTAGGTAGGAAAAAAGTTTCTTGGAAAAAATAATTAATGGTAAAACATCAGCAACTTTTATCAATCTGAAATGGCTATTGTAATCATGTTGAAAATTATAAAATGGGATAAGGCTTATAGTAAATACTTTCCAATTACAAGTAATATTATTTCCAGAAATGTGTACCTTAATATGAGTGTTTTTTATAAATTGTGAGTTAGTGTTTAGAGTAACATTATTTTATGAGTTTTTTAATAAGTGGAAAGAAAAGTAAACGATGCAAATAGAAATGAGACTTAGAGAGACATAAAAAGGTAGATGAAGTACAAGGCCAGGAGGAAAGAAAAGATACAGGCATAAAAGCAGAATGATGCCATGAGAGGAAATGAAAGATGGAGTAGAAGGGTATATAGAGATGCCCAAAGACTATGATCAATGTACCAACAGAAGCCTGAGTAGAGAAAATTGTCATCTAGGACCCAAGTCTTCTTAGCATTTTTTAGCTAAGGGGGAAAAGTGCAAGGGAAAAAAAAACATATTAAGTGAGTGGAAACTATGGCATCCTATTCTTATTTGAAAGAAGAAATTCACCTCTTGATGAATGAATTTTCATAATGTATTTTTCAATCGGAATCCCTATTTGTAATGGTATTATTGGCAATTTTTGTTTTCCCCCATAATAAATATCCACCAATTATCTGGGAAGGAATTTCACTTTGCATTCTTCCTACACTATCCCAGAACATACAACATGATCTATTTTCAAATCGGTCCTCTTTAAGGGCCCTACCATTTTTCTACTATGTGACATTTTGATTTGATGCGTTGTACATTAATAAAATTGTGCATTGAAGCAAAATGGATACGTAAGCTCAAACACACACATGATTGTTTTTTTGACAGTGCTGAGAGTCACAACAAGAACTCTACTACTACCCCGTCTTAACTATTTTGTTGTTAACTAATTATCAAAGTATGCAAAGTTGTAGTCTTGGAAAACAAACTAGTGAAGAATCTCTGTCTCAGCTAGCTAAGAATATTGGCAACAACTTTTGAGCTTGTAAATAGCTCAAGCTTTACTCCATTGCAATTTCAAAGAGCTATACAGCATTTTTCCTTCATGCCTTTAACTTTAGAAATTAATTTTAAAAGTAATTTTGAAAATTATTTTTTAAATGAAAATGCAGTGGCTCCAAATTGGACAAATTACTCTTTTATGTCTTTGCAGATAAAGCATTAGGGCTTTTTAAAAAAATTTGGCCATTACTTGTATAAGGGAATTTGCAGTTTTTCATATCAGAGAAAGCAGACAGATTCAGAAAGAAAATATCTCACTCATATGCAGTAGATTTTCTCACTCTTATGCAACCAACTATCCTTACTAAATTCTTCAAAGTTTACTGCAATAGTAAATTATTAAATCCCAAACTAGAAGTCACTAAATTTAAAAATCAACACGTTGTTGTTATCTCTTTTTACATATCTAGCGATCTATGCAAAAGTAACCTCACCAGATTACACAATTGGTGTTTAATTTCATTTAAAGATGATGATGAAATGCTATCGAGTCATAAAATATACAGCAAATGTGTACTTGAATAAACAATTTTATGATTAGGATAAAATATTTAAATAATACACTTAAAGACATGAATAAGCATATATTCAAATGAATAATATTCAATTTTAAAAATTAAAATGTGAAATGGTCCATTTGTAGTTTTTTGATATTTTGGTTGTATGTAAACAGAACATAAATGTGCTTTCATGTTATAATAACTTTATATGTATTTTGGCTTTTACAAAATAATTAAACTATTTTCAAGTATTAACTGGTGATTGTAAGCACTCGATAAGTTAGCCTTTATGCTCAACTTGATTAATACTTTATATTTCATTATCTACACAAAGTAACATTAATAGCAAGTTAAGCAATGTCACATTCTTTAAGAATTTGCATCACTTCTTTGTATAACATTTTATGTGACTTACATTTTCAGAAATGAAAGGTTTTAGAAATGAATCTGGTCAGTAAATACAGACATACTATTTCAAAGGATAATGAAGATAGTCAGTTTGTCTATAAAACAGTCACATAGTCAACAATTCTCTTTTATTAGAAGCATGATTTCAAGATTAGTATTAAAGCAACCCAGTCCTGAGCCAGTGCACAGAATTTTCATATACGTTCATTGTAAATATACACTTTTGCATAACCAACATTGTTTCTATTTATGTAAATACTTTAGATGGTATCTGTATTTGCTCTAAACTTTCATTGATTAGGTAATATAAACTACATTAAATAAATGATCCCAAATATGATAGGGTACATCTATGGATGTTTATATGTGATATTATCCTTCATATAGAGCATGTGAATGCCAATAAATATGTAGGATGTGATAGTCTTCATTAACATTGATATTTTATATGGTTTTACAAAGGAAATATCTCATACCTGAATTATTTGATGCTTTTTAAAGTAACATTTTCTTTTGTCTTAATGAAATTCTAGATGTTTTAAAAAACGTTTCTAACAG